GGTGCCGCATAATTACCAATTCTAACAATAACTGATTAATTTGAGGCTTGTAATTTATCTAGATTATATGTTTAGCAGCATATTTATACAGTCAGACTGGATAGATAGATTTCCGTTACAAAATGCATATTACTTTGGCGCGAATATGATTATTATTACATTATTAGCAAGATGCAATGAAATGCAAATCCAATGCATTACCATATACGCCGTTTTCACTCAATTAGAAAAATATTTTTAATAAAATTATGGTGGTTGCTTTAAATATTCACCTATGAATATTTAGGCGCGGCATTGTTATTGAGGAATGCATCGATGCCTCTTTTTATTGCAATGCTGGTAAAATTTCGAATGAAAAAATATGGAGATATGCAATTATTGAGGAATGTATACCGGTAGATAGCAAATTAATATTGCTGTTGGATGGTGTTCAGTGTATTCAGTTTCGCATTCAGTTTACTTCTGACAGTTACATCCGGATTAAAATCCTTTAACAAATGGTGAGAACTCAATTAGAAGGTGCTAAGAATTGCAATGGGTTGAATTTTAAATACAAATGGCTTATACTGAAGGAGTTTGCATACAATCCTAACCTCCCTATTCATTTGGCACACGGCAATATTTGGAATTCCAGAAAAAAAAAACAGAACAGACTGATTTTAAAACAGAAATGTATTCTTGAGAGTAAATGAATATGATTTTTATCTAGAGATACAAAATATTTTACTGAGTAACAACACATCTGCAAACTCCTTAAACCAATACTTCATAGAATTTTTGGAACATGTGCAAAAAAGTGATTCTTCCAGCTTTGACAGTAAATAAAAAAAGTTACCCAACAAAATTTTTTTTATCCACCATTAGGAATACAATTCTGTTGTAAGATCTGCCTATTCATTTTTTAGAATGTTTCGCTAGTCAGACTGATCTAATATACAGGGTGTCCTGAAAGTTGGAAACAACTAAGTTGATATTAACAAAGTAAGAAAAAACGAAAAATTGCTCACTTTTCTGTACACATGCATATGCTTGAGGAAGCCCAGCATCATTGTAGGCTTTTAGAATGGACTGCTTTTACCGAATGAATGTAGCAGTGTTCACTTCAGTTTCATACATTTTATTCTAAATGATCTGCATGCACTCGCGAAGCCTCGGTAGCATTTCAAAGGCACTCACCGTATATTAAAATAATATGGACTACTCCGATATTGGTATATAAGTGTGCCATTTTTGTTTTGTTTTTCTTTTAGTACCGATGTTTGAAGGTCAGAGTCATCCATGTAACGGATACACTGATTGGTAATCCATATGGCGTCATCGGCATCCTATTTGATTATCTGTGGCTCTGTGTGTGCTGCCTGTCGGATATAGATCAATAAACGTACTTCCATTCCATTCATGGAATTCGAAAATCTGTTTGGTGCGAATAATCCATGCAAGTGGACGCTAACCTTTAGGTGATATGTGACTTTCTTCTTGATCGAGGCGGTACCATCCCAAGGACATCGACTCCCTAACTAACAATTATCACTCCTATTAGAGTTGCAAGAATGATTATAAAGTATTCCTTACACAACATTGTATACTGTAAGCATATTGGCAAAACCTTCTTAGAACAGCTATACAAGCGGAATGGGCACACCTAATAGGACACTTCAGTCATTTAAGAGGTTGTATAATGGCTGCAGGTAACAGTTATACAACAAAAGTGTAAGCCTCTTGCAGCCGCTATAGGACATTTGCGTCAGTGCAAGATTCAGTTTTTGTCAACTATACAACTATTCTGTTACGTGATTCTACTTTATTGCAGCCAAACCATTTCTTATGTATTGTATAGACGAAGTGAAGAATATATAACTAATACAATACAGTCATCTTGTTTACTTACATATCGGCCATTGTGAATTTCATACACAGGTATATGATAAACTTCTACACTGTGATATAGGGGGATTGAATTACTTGCGCAGCAAATTTTATTGTGATTATCGTGCACAGTAGTTACCCAATTTCTACGGGCTTCGTATTTGATTCATATTTTGATAATGATCAAAAGTATGTCTAGATTTTTAAGATGGAAAACTGAACTTACCTGCGTTAAATCTACCACAAATCCTACATTTAGACACAATTACACTAATGGTTATCACTTTATTTTTGTAATTGCGAACTGAAACATAATTATTTCATATCAAATAGAGGAATAAATGTTTTCCCAATATGGCGGGTGATTGTGTATAATCATGGCATCGTCCATGTTGTCTTTGGTTTATTAGAATACTTTGGTGTTGCTTGCAGGTGTTATACAACAATTTGACAAAAATGTCAGAAATGAAATACCGATAGAGTCCAATGATTTACCTAGAATTTGTACCAGATCTGTATCTTCTGTTTGAACAGTTGATAAAACCTTTTTAACCCATATGCATGCGTTGTTTGTCTTAAAACATTGGTTATGGCATTTTAACAAAAATATGATAGCAGAAAGTTAGGTTATGGTGACATATTTAGCATATGTACAGCTTTTAACAGTTACTAACAGTTGTATAAGTGCTTCCGTTCGGAGCAATTTGTTGGCTAAAGTAGTAAATTTGCACAGTTTGACTAACCTGTAAATATGCCGTACAAAATAGTTGTATAAAGGTTTATGCAACAGTTAAAAATTTGTCCTATAAGGTGTTGTGTAACTATGCTATCAGAATATTTTAAACACCTCATTTTAGAGCAAATATGTTGCAGAAAGCAAATTTGCATTCCACACAACATTAAGCCAGCATTTTGGTGTTCAGGCAACAACAATAGAGAGCTTTTATAGCTGAATGGTTCTTTTACCAAAAGCTTACAGCACTACCTTGTTAGTTGGGCTGTGGGACCAGAATACTGGCACATCACACGCGTTCAGGGCCTGCCTTGGGCTCTGCCTTCAAAGTAGCCCAAGTATAAAGAAAAAATCAGAAGTCGGACTGAACTTACGTATTCCAACGTCTACAGTGAAACAGTTGAAAGAAATCAAATGAATGGCAGGATTTTTAATTGACTTCTGTTCTAGGGAGCAAACGAGGCATTTTCTCAGGTGATTCCTAGAACTTACGTTATCTATGCTCCCGTATTCGTCTCTAATTGGTGCTGTGTCCATAGAGATGGTCGGGATAAGGTGAAAACGAGCGCAGTTGCCGCTGTGCTGATTTGTAAAACTTCTTTTAATAAGTAACGCATTCGGCGCGGAATAATTGAGGATGCATAGTACATTAGGCTTGCGCAGTGGCGTATCAAGGCTCGAAGCCACCTTATTGATACAAAAAGACTCCCCCACTGAGATCTCTCTGGAAATCCTTGTGGTTCTTCAGACTTCTTTGTATCTCTGTTCATCCTTACCAGATAACAACGCAAGGCCTACTGAAAAATCAGTAAACAGCGAAAAAACTGGACCAATCAATGAATCCTAAGGGATATTGATATATTCTTAGCGTACTATGGGAGCACTAAAAATGTTAAACTGAAAATATTTTATTATTCAACAGGCCCCTCTTAACTCAAGACACTCTTTACATCGATGTTGTAGAGCTTTTACACCTTTCAAATAAATGTTTCCTGTTGGCCTGTAAATCAGCTTTCCACACCTTCTATCATATTGTTGTTCGGAGAAAATTTGCGACCTTTAAATTTTTTCAGCTTCGGAAAAAGGTAATAATCAGAAGGTGCCAAGTCATGTGAATAATGAGGGTCTGCTATTAGTTCGAAATCGCGAAGCTTCGTCATCGAAACATGCGAGTTGTGTGCTGGCGCATTGTCTTGCAAATCTTTCCACGTCTTATCTCCTTGTGTAAGCAACCAGCGAAAATGATACCAGAACGGTCCCAAAACACTAAGGCAACCACTTTTCCTGCAGACTTTTGTACGCGAAATTTCTTTTGCCTTGTCGAGTGCTTGCCACGCTCTTTTTTTTAATTAGGATCACTTTTTGATTTTAAGCTAAAGTTATTTCTCTCACTTGAGGCAATGGATGATTAAAAAAAAACTAGGGGGTTACTGAGGCTAAAGCCGTGATTTAGCGTTGGCAAATTAGGCCCTATGCTCAGGTACACCGGAGAGTAGGGGGGTATTTTTTAGGGGCGCCACCAGCTTTTATCCGCCAAAACTGGAAGACGCCTTGGTGTTGAAAGGCACTCTTTAGCCCAAAACCCCAAGAAACAAAAACAAAAATGCATACAAACAATAGATTTTCTGTGTGGGTAAATAATTGCTAAAATTAACATCAATACATTTTATTACATCTACTAACGGCTAACAACAAAAATTTAAGCCAGCCAAACTAGGAGATCTCCCTTAATGCGAAAGCTTATTGACTAACTAATTTAAAATGGGCGAGTAAGGCTTCAAAACCGATGACGTAAGAATCCCTATGGTGGAAAAAGGGTCTCTGTTCGGAAAGAGGTCTCCGGTAGAAAACGTGTCAATGGATCTCCAGTAGCGAAGATTCCCCCAAAATAAAAGCGCCAGATGATGTCGGGTAGGGTTTTTCACGTGGTTCCGTCTAGCGAAAAGTGCGGCTGAAGACAATAAGATCCTACAAATTGTGGAATTTCTCGGGTCCAAGGGTAGACGAAAAAAAAAAGATGCTACGCACTCACAACAGGAATGACCCAGGAAATTATCCATGAAATTTTCTTCCACAATCCAACGAAGATGCCCCAGGCAAAAAAAGAGGAAAATTTCAGGTCTTCTGGCACTAGCGGAACAGAACAAGATGGCCCTCCGATAGTGGAAGGAAGTCCCATCCCAAAATTTAATTTTTTCGTCTTGACATTTCCAAATATAGTTGTACGCCTGACCATTAAGAGCCAAACGTTGTCGGCTAATCCCAAAATGAGAAGGTTCCTAATATAAATTCAAGTAAATATCGTGAATAAATGTGGCAATACTGTCATATCTGCATATAAATTTGATTGATTAATAAACATAAGGAAATTCTGAAATAAAATTGGCAACTATGCGGAAAAAGCGAGGTGTGCAAGTATATAGTTCGGTACGCAGAATAGTACCTCGACATCAGCGACATCAGCATTTGACATTGGAAGATTTCAGAAAACAATAATCAGTTCATCTGACTATAAAAGAAATACATAGTTCAATAGGTGAGTAATAATATTTATGCAACACAAATAGTTTTTAATTCAGAAGGTGATATCAATTTATAGATGTACATTTATTTATTTATTTATTTTTACCTCCGGAGTAACAAACCGGATTGTTGTTGGGGTGTAAACTAATCCTCGAGACGAAAATTTCGAGATTGAATTGATTTCTTGACGGTGGAAGATCTAGCAGGGGATGGAAGCAACCGAGTTATTTATGAAAATATGTGGAGATGAATACTAAAATTATTACTCATGGTGAACCAGGGAAATTACTAGGCGACACAAGAAGAAATTGTCCATATCAGGGTGAGTAAATTCATCGATTAATTACCTGAATGCATGGAAAATTGACTACACATTTATAAACTTAGTGGTAGAAACTGTAAAGATGATCAAAATGGAGTGCGATTGCTGTACGTTAAATTTAATAATTGAAATTTTTGGATTATAGAATAGATCAGGATGGATTATGTTTACTTGATTGAGAAATATTTGGTTTCAGTTCCCAAATTGTTCAGTGACATGGAAGATGCTGACTACTATATACAGGCAGCCAAACGACTACAGAAGAAAAACAACGGATACAAATTAAAAATTATAGTTATTCCGTGGTATTCATGTGTTATGTTTGTTATTTCAAATAAACATGATAATAGGTAAATGTCTGGGTGTTATTTATTTTGGTTATGAATTACGTGAGAAAAATATAGCTAAATACACCGTTAAAAACAAGCGCTATCTTGGGAAATGGCCAATGGGGCGGTCTAGTCATTTTTGTCAATAAAATTGATTTAATAATATGCTATGAATGAAAATAATATGCTACGGAGATTATTAGATTAGATTATCGGCTTTTGTTTCTTCCTTCTCAAGTTCTTGCTGAATTACATCAAATTAAACCTGTGCGACAACAACAACAACAACAACAAGAAAATATGATTCATCGGCAATAAACGGCAACTGTTACATGCTTCCATTCCATCCAATGTTGTTTTGTCTCAGGATCGTAGGAATGTACCCAAGTTTCGTCCATAATCAGTATACTCTTCAGAAACTTTGGTTCTTTGCCTTTTCAAATCGAGCAAGAATTGCACACGATGTTTCCACTAGTGATCGCTTCTGTTCCGCGTTCAGGCATTTGGGAATCCATTCTTCAGAATTCGTTTCACGTCCAAATCAACATAAATGATGTTAGGAATGTGTTCGTATAAAATTTTCAGGTATCGACATTTCGCGGGATTGAGACTAAAATGGGTCTTCTAGGTATCACCTTGAATGGATAACTTTTCTCTTTTGAAGCAAGTCACCCACTTTTTTGTGGCATACGAAGGGCAGTCATCACGAAAGGTATTATGGGTGGTATGAATAAAAATGAAGTACCTTCTAATACTACAAGTATTAGCATTTTCTACAAAGTATGTACTTCAAATCTGAGAAGAACCTACATTTTCAAGTAGATACTTTTTGTTTTACCGGAACTTACTATATCAAGTAGTATTTTCTGAAAGTACCTACTTCTTGTAGTAGATGCTATTTGATTATGTAGACTCGCCTTGATATTGCTGCCATCAATCGCCATTTCGCATGAAATGAGTCCGAAAGCAACTAATAAAGATGAAAAGACGCAGCCGATGTGCCGCACAGTCACAGAATTTTAACGGGCTCATTTTAGACGGCTATGGGGCGGCGGGTGAAGAAGCATCGGGGAAGACATCTTTTTCTCGAGAAAATGAGAAAATTGCTAAGCGGTTCCGTTTATTGGATTTCCGGGAAAATGCAGATACTTTTCCGGGATGAACGGAAAATAGCAACTGGAGTTGGTAATGTCTTTATACGTAAAAACATCAGGGAATAATCAATTGTGAAGAGGGTGATCAGCCACCTGCAAGTCTATTACCAGTTGTATGGACTGTTGGATAGTTCATCCGACTTTTGATAAAATATCTTAATCTTTAATTTCTCCTTCAATATTAATGATCAAAAAATGCAAATTAATAAAGTGCCCAACATAAAATACCTTGGAGTGGTCTTGGATCCTCACTTACGATGGGACATCCATGTCAATTATATTTTAAAGAAAGTTAGATTTGTATCCTACAAAATTAAATACCTTGGGAATATATTGACAGAAAAATATCTTCGAACATTATACCATGCACTGATTGAGCCTCATCTCACATATGGTATATTAGCATGGGGAGCTGCATGTTCCTCACATATCTATAATTTAGATGTTTTTCAAAAAAGTATTCTAAAAATGATATTTAAAAAACCGAAACTTTATCCCACTGAAAAATTATACGCAGATGTTCGAATGTATGATATAAGACAGCTTCTTACACAGTATCACTCACTACCATAAATTTGTAAACACCGACCAAAAAATTAAACATAATCATTATACCAGGTACAAAATTCGTGGCACAGTAGTTCCTCAACCGCATAAATCTATAATGCAGCGATCACATCTCTATTTAGCGCCTAAATTTTATGAAATTATACCTAAAGACTTAAAAGATTTACGTTTCGGAAATTGTTTCAAAAGAAATTTAAAAAAGTGGCTACATTCTATAATAGGACTGAAATTCATAAACTCATAAATACGAACATCAACTAAATACATAATCCACTGTAGCTAATTTTTGTCCTTTTTGTCAATTGCATTCTACAGTTTCAACTTAAATTTATTGGTCCATGTACAGGCGATGCCTTCTATTGGGCCTGTTTTGATTTTATATTTATTTACTCATATTTTTTGTTATCTTTGTACATTGAGTGAATAAATATTATTATTATTATTAGTCTGGACCCTTTGCCTTTATTGTTTGTTAAAGTTTTATTTGTGTATCTACTTCTTACGATAACTAGTGAAAAGTCTTTATTATAAGATATGCTTTTTGGATGTTGCATGACATGTACTCGTACATCTCAAAAGACCATGTCACTCATTCCCGTCGGTCTGCCTGTCTAACTGTCAGTCCATCTATCTGGCTGTCCGCTAATTCTTGGTACTTCTGTGTCTTGTAAAGTACACTACTTGGATTTTGATAAGATTTTAACGTGAGGTTATTATTATGCCAGAGACAAAAGAGCTCTGTAATTTAAAAAAATTGGTTTAGTGACGGCGGAACTATGGGCAAAAAAGAAGAAACATAAAATCAGACTAGGTTCGTTCTTTGTATACTAAGTAACATATAAATCCGAACACCCAGTTTAAATGGTTTTATTTTAATAAAAGTTGGTGAATGTATTTATCTTACTGTAAATAACAAGTGAAAAAATTTTCAGCCTTATCAGTTGGACAATCCGGTTTTTATACTGCTTTTTTTTAATTCACTAACGCTCTAAAAATGAATATTTCAGCCGCAGTAAAGAATCAACGTTGGCGGATTTTGGTTCTTGACATCCTTTACGATCGGTTACGATGCCTAGAGTACGGAGACCTGTACGATTTCGTCAACTTAGTGAGCTTGATAGGGGCCGTATAGTGGGACTTCGGGAAGCTGGACTTTCTTTTCGGGCAATTGCAGTTAGAGTGCAAGGAAGTGTAGACACTGTGGTTAGGTGTTGTCAGGCATGGCTTCGAGAAGGCCGTACGCAAAGAGCAAGGGGCACTGGACGCCGCCGTAGAACAACAGACCGTGAAGATCGCCGCCTAAGATTATTGGCCTTAAGGGACCGTTTCTCCACTAAGAGGTCCATTGCAAATGAATGGTTTGCAGAACACGGAAGACCTATTGGCATGCGAAGTGTTTACCGACGAATGAGAAGTTTTGGCTTGTTTTCATACCGGCCACACTGGGTCCTCCCTTTAACTCGAGAACACCGATGTAATCGCCTTGAGTGGTGCAGACAACGGTCACTCTGGGATCAGGAATGGAACAGTATTGTCTTTAGTGACGAGTCTCGATTTTGTTTAGGCATGCACGATGGTCGTGCAAGGGTCAGAAGGCGACGTGGTGAAAGGAGGAATCCACAGTTTTTTGTTGAAAGACATGTTCATCACACTGTTGGAGTTATGGTTAGAGGTGCTATAGCTTATGGTTCCAGGTCACCTTTAATCTTCATCAGAGGTAACATGAACGCGCAGCGTTATATCCACGAAGTTCTAGAACCCCATCTTTTACCCTATCTTGACACCCTGGCAGATCCAACTTTCCAACAAGATAATGCCCGACCACATGTTGCAAGAGTCACAATAGACTTCTTTCAACATAATGATGTCACATTGTTACCATGGCCACCAAGATCTCCCGACTTATCCCCAATTGAGCACGTGTGGGATATGATGGGTAGGAGATTGCTCAATTTGCAACGTCCTCCTCAGACTCTAGAAGCAGTTCGAGAGGAGTTGGTGGTTGCCTGGAATGAGATACCACAGGAGGACATTGACCACCTGATCAGAAGCATGCCTAGGCGCGTTGGAGAATGCGTAGCACATCAGGGAGCATCCACACATTATTAAAGGTCAAAGGGCTTTAAAGCAGTGCAATCATTTTGAAATTTTTATCATTTACTTATGCTTCATTAAGTACTTATACAAAATTTTATTAAAATAAAACCATTTAAACTGGGTGTTCGGATTTATATGTCACTTAGTATATTTGAGGGACTCCTGCTCATTTTCAGATCAATTTTTGAAGGGGTAGTAAATTGCGGGTTAGGGACTATGAACGTCTATCTTTGATTTAGTGAAAGACACTCTGTTACTAAGGAGCTTCTGATCCCAATAATACTCAACAATACTGTTAAAAAGAATAGCTATATCTTAAATTAAGACGATAAGCTCAAGTCATGTCTCGACTGGCCCGTACGACTACCCGATGGAGGCTGTTTAGTCTGACCCATCGTCTTGCCAGACCTGCACCACTCGTTCATATTTCCAGGGTCCAAGATCTGTCTCACGGCTGGTTTCTCTCTTTTAAAGCACATTTTCTGGTAGATATTGTTCATATTAGTTTAAACCCAACATAATCTAACTGATGAAATTTATGTGTGAAGTACAGACTCCTAATCCACTGGAGAGAAAGTATTGGGAATCTGGGAGACTTGCCCAGGTGGGAGACTTGCCCCTCCGTGATATATTTACTTTAAAATTGCGCACCATAATCTGAAACGAGAGAAAACGGGACGCCCTCTAGTGCTTCTAGGCGTCTACGAAATCCTAGTTGACTTTTCTCAGTTTGTTTTGTATCTGACCCGAGGCATGTGGCTTTTTGCGTTTAAACCAAAAATTAATACTTTTACAAATTTCGCGATTTTGTGGGCAAATTAAAAGGTAAGTTTTAGATTCTTGTGTGGGTATATTAATTAGACATTGTAGATTTATGCACCATAAATGTTAAACGTGCACTAATCATAATTTTTAAGAAAATTGAACCTAACCTGAAACAGAAAGGTGTGGGAGACTGGCCCATACCTCAGGAGGGAGACTTGGTCAGAGGGGCAACTCTCCCTTTCTGATGTAATTCTAAATTGGTATTTGTTTTTAATTAATTTTAGTAAAATTTGATGCATTTTTTTTATTACAGGTCTGTACAATGCCATTTAAGTACAAAACAAAAGACGGTTCCACTCGCAAAAAACTTGATAAGGCTGTTTTTAAAAATGCACTAGATGAACTAGGAATTCTTTGAAAAACTTCTGCAAAATATGATATT